GCGGCGGCTTTGCGCCCGCCGCCGGCATGGAGGCAGCGGGGCGGCGCGGACGGGCGCGGGGGGTGCCGCTGCCCACCCTCCTCCTCCTCCTCCTCCTTCTTCTCGAAGGTCAGCGGGATCGGGGAGCCGGGGGAGCGGAGGGGCTGGGGGCGATGCGGGGCCCCGCCGGACGGCCGCCAGGTGCCCGTCCGAGCTGCGGGCGGGGGCAGCGCGGGGGGAGCCGCCGTGCCGGGAGGTGCTGGGGTCTTTCCCCCCCAGGCCTCTCGTGGCTGGACTGGTTTCAGTGTGCGGGAGGTTTGGGAAGGACGGCCCGTGTAACCCGGTGAGCGCTGCTGGGGGCTGCTGTGGCACCCCGAGCGCTGCCCAACTTCAGCACTTGCAGTAACTTCCCGGGAAGGAGGGCTCCTCGTTGCTGATAGAGCGCGGGCTGCTTGAATTAGGAGAGGTGTTTCAGTCGTCCCTCTCTCGTGCAGTGCTTCAAGCACTCCTGGATCGCAAATGCGTTGGGTCGCTTTCATGTCCGGCTACTCTGCTTAGCCTGCAGATCGGTGGGGCTGTCTGTCGTGCCGCGTTGTGGTGTGTAGCCCTTCTCTAAAAGGGGTAACTGCTCAGGTTGAGAGCACAGGCTCAGAGCTGCATTTGGCCTCTCCTGCCCTCACCCTCACTTTGGTGCTTGTCTCCGCACAGGTGGTGGGAGCTGACCTGCTGAAATCTGTTGTGTGAAATTAAGATGATGAGTGTTAGGATGGATCAGCAGCGCAGGCAGCTCGCTGTGCAGCCACATGCAGAGAAGCCTTGCTGCAAGCTGGGAGCTTGTGGGCAGGAGGTGGTCACAGAGGTTGCTACGATGAGGTTGGGTTGTCCAGACCCCATCACACTGAAAGCTGGGCCACAATGGATGACAGTCAGGAACACATCTTATGAGGAATAGCTGAAAGAGCGGAGGTTGTTCAGCCTGGAAGAGGCTCAGGGAGACCTCATTGATCTTTACAACAGTCTGAAAGGAGGTTGTACGAGGTGGGGGTCAGCCTCTTTTCCCAGATAATGATGACAGGACAAGAGGGAATGACCTTAAGTTGCACTAGCAGAGGTTCAGGTTGGGTGTTAAGAACAATTTCTTCTCAGCAAGAGCAGTGAAGCAGTGGCACAGGCTGCCCAGGGAGGTGGTGCAGTCACCGTCCCTGGAGGTGTTCATGGTGTGGCACTGAGGGATGTGGTTAGTGGACATAGTAGTTGGACAAGATGATCTTGGTGGTCTTTTCCAACCTTAATGATTTTGTGATTCTACAAATGCTAATGGAGTCATCAGAGTGAGCGAGCTCTTGATGGTCAAGAAGGAGAGCATGGGATGAGACAGGAGAAATCTGTCATTTACCTTAGGGAACATGGCCTAGGGCTTTGCAACACCACAAAGTGATTATCAAACAGGAGATTGAACTTTAAAATAAAAGAATGTGTCCTTCCACATCCTTTAGTTGTAAAGAACTTGCTTACTGTTATTTCACAGTTGGAGCTGTTCATCAGTCCCAAAGAGCATTGCTGCTGACGACAGTTCTGGCTTCCTAGGCAAAAAAGCTTGGCATGGTGGCGGGCAGAGCTGGCTGCAGTGGGGCTGGGCTAGGCTGGCAGGGCCCCACTGAGATGAAGCTGGCACTCAATCTGGTATAGAGCAAGGGCAGCGCTGGCCACTGGCTGGGGAACCCCAAGTAGCCCTAAGTGTCACTCTGGACCACTCCAGCAGGGACATGGGGCAGGAGCCAGCCCACAGACAGCTTCATTTCCCTCTTTTCCAACCCAGCAGTGCAGTGTGGGAGGCAGCTTGGCTTCAGGTAGTTCTCTGGAGTCTTCATTGGAAGACAGAAAGATAATCTGTGGTGTCTTGACATTTTGAAATGCTTTCTTTTTATTTTAAATGATTTAGTATGAGAAGGGATTGATACAGCCAGCTACGAAATGTGCATACACAGAGCATCTAAATATGAACTTCTCACTGAAATTTGGAATGAGAGGGAATTGGCTGCCATTTGGATTATGGGGTCAGGCCAAGCCTCAAGTGAAGTCCTGTGATTGTATAAAACTGTTAGATTGCATTTTCTTTAAAGCTGTATTCTATGGCTTTTTGTTGTTGCTGCTGTTTGACTGCATGAATGTTATTTTTATTCAGCAGAAGACTGTCTGGCTCAGTGTGATAATGACTGCAAGGCTTACTGCTGTGATGGGACCGCTCCCTACTGCTGTTCATATTATGCTTACATTGGGAATGTCCTTTCGTAAGTATATTTGCTCTTCAGAACAAATGATGCTCACTGTTCATGAACTCGATGTAAATTCAGGTTGCTGGAAACTATGTTTGGCAATAAACACTGACAGGGTTTGGTTTGGGGGATTTTAGTTGTTTCTTTCCTTGCTGCTAACAAGTATTGTTAATGCTGTAAGGTCTCACGTTTCTTGCATTTTTGAGGCATGCTTATACCAGAAACTTGCTGAGATTGAAGGTTATGTCCTTAACTTGTGTATGCTGCTGAAGCCTTTGAAAGCAAGCTGTACAGGTGCTGAGAACTTTGCTTCAAGCTCTTCAAATGAAGAGGACTGTATGTAGAAAACTTGTATTTTTTGTTGAAATGCTTTGTTACAATACCTGAGTTGAGCTGCTATTGAAATATCTTGCAATTTAGATTTTTTTGCTTTACTATTTTTTTTTCTTTTTATTGACTTGTTTGTTTTCACTAAATTGTGCTTTGGCTCTTGATGAGGTTTACTGAATAGATTCAAGGTGAGGGTAATCTGATCCTTTAGCACTGTGGTGTGAGTAGCATGTTTCACAGTGCTTAGAAGAACCAATGCAGGAGAAATGGAGTTGGTATGAATATTTTCTGGCTAGAGGAAAGCATATCGATAAAAATCTTAGTCTCCAGTGCAGGTGTTAGCTCTGTATTGGTGAGGAAGAGGAGAAAATTCTGTGTGCTAGTTGACCTGACTCCAGGCTCTGGGTTTAACTTAAAACTTAAAACCCATAAGTATTTCATTTGTATGTGAGGACAAACCAAAACAAAACACAAAATGTTCTTCAAGACAGGGCATCTGACCTTGTTTTTTGTCCACCTCATCAGTGATTTCTTCACCCATTAGCATGCAGTCTGTGGAAAGGATAAATGTGGCACTAAGGGACATGGTCATTGGGCATGGTGATTACGGGTTGACACTTGGACTAGATGATCTTAGTGGTCTTCTCCAATCTCAGTGATTCTATGACTCTCTGTATTTTTGGTTTGTATTCTTAGCTGAAACCAGAGAAAGAAGATGTGGTATGTCAGGTGGATTGCTCAGTGCCTGAGAAGGAGTGAATTCAAAGGCAGTAGTTTTTTCTGGAAAGACACCTCTGTTGCAGGCTTTGTATCTGTAGAATATGTCACTGTTGCCTTCAGCTTATTATGTAGCACTTTGAAGGAGTAGGCATAGCATGGCATTTTAATACAGAATTGATCCACAGCATTTAAAGTGGATCAGACAGTTCTTGGGCTGAAGTAAATAAAATAAGGATGGAGCATCAGAATCCTTCATTCCTTTGGAAATAAGAAAGCACCTATTTAATATTGATTACTTTTGGAGAATGACAAGTGATTTTATTTTCCTCTCACCTAGAGAATATATCCTTTTTTCTTAATTTTCTTTTCTCCATCCAAGATTACTGTCCTGTTTAGATGCATGGGAAGATATACTCCATTCCTGTTTGTACATGGTTAGGAATGATAGATACAGTAGCACAGTATATCATTTGTAAGAAGGAAGTTTCCCATAGAACAGCAAAGCAAGTGGATTTCCTCTCCTACTAGCCATGAACATCACTGGCATTTGCCTAGTCTGATGTCAGAGCTATGCTGTGGGAGGGATTTATCAAGGGATTCTTTGGAAGGACTGCTGAGATATTCAAACCATGCTTAACACCAGGTTCACAACTACTTTTCTGTGCACTTATTTAACCAACACAAACAGCTGTTGAGTTAGAACTGAAATGCAAGTGACACTAGCATGTTAGAAAGGTTTGTGTGTATCTGTATGCATGCTGAAGTGGCTTTTACAAATGCTGTTTGTCAGTGTGACCTGAAGGAGGTATTTCATTCTTCTCATTTTTTGTATGGATAAGTACTTCAATTCATAAACTCTAAGACAAGTCAGAAGTCATTATTACTCCTCTGATCTGACATGTTGGGTGACTGAACCATAGTTTTCGCATATTTGGGGTTTTTTTTCTCACTAAAAGCTGCATGGGGTGTAACTTCTGTAAACATGCATAATCTCATTTTGAAAACTTCAGGTGTTAATGAATTGATCACCTGCCCTGCTAAATTCTTCTGCAGTTAATTTACTAACATTGCTGGGAAATTTTGCAGGGAAATGAAGGCTGAAATTCTTAAACTCAGCTCTTAACTTACATGAGAGTTTGAAATGTGGCCCTAAATAGTCATTGTGACAACTCTGAACCTTATCGGTAAGCTGATTGAACTCTGTCAGGCTCACATGTAAGATTTGTCCAGGGGTCAATTCTTTGGCCTGCCTTCGAGCTCACTCCATTATTTTCACTTCCTTCTGGAAATGTGGCAGTCAGAGCTGAGCACGGGGTGATAGAAGTCTTTCTGGGATTATTTTTTTCTGTAATTGAGCATCTAGGTTTCAGTATCTGTTTTGAAGCAAACGATCATCACTGAAGACATAAATGAATTTACTAGTTTCTTTCATGAGTAAGTTTGTAAGTCATTGTCCTCAAAACATGTCTGGTACTTTAAGCCTGCTAATTGTTCTTTGCTAAAGTTACTAGCTTTGCATGTAGTGGTATGGCACAACAAGTGACTTTAGACTGTGATTTTAACTGTGCTCCATAACAATAGCCATCTGTTTTGGCACCATGTTGGTCTTTATTTTATGTGACATGTTTTCCTGAAGAAGTTTCATGTCACCTCACCCCCAAATGAAATGTAAATGTACAACCTATGAATTTACATTGCAGGATACAATCCCTGGAATCTGGAAATCACTGCTAGTGAGCCATCTTTTGTTGTCTTACTGTGAACAACTGAGTTTAGAAATCTTTTAGAGATTTAATCCAACAAGCTATGTGCCCTGATAGTTCCACACCATTATGTTCTTTCAGTATCTTTGTTTTCCAGTATCATCATTTTTGATCTTGCTGCCTACACCAAAGAGTGGACTTTATCTGCATGGCTATTTTTAGAGTGCCTTTTTATTGTCTAAAACACTGTTAGTAGTCTTTAGTGTTTTATTGGCTCATCTGCTTCTTTAGAGATTCTCAGTGCTTCTTTGTTTATCACTAACTTTTCTCCTCTGCATGTCTTTCTGAGGTTCCTGTTCTTTATCTTCTCCAGGATGTTTTTTTCTACATACCAGTAACTTTTCCTTGCAGTTTTGGAAGGACCTTTCAGCACACAGTAGGTTCTTTTTTAAAACAATTCAATATTTTATTTTATGCCTTTCACTCTTCTTTTTCTAGACTCGTTTGCCTATGATTGTGCAAACAGAATAGAAACACCAGCCAATAATGCGTATCCTAATTTTAAAACAGAGTCACTGTGACTAGATCATGATCACTGATACTTAGGCAGCTTTTAGCTTTTAAGTGATTAATTCTCTCTTCACTCATTAAAATGAGATTCAACATTGAGATATTCCATGTAGGGTTCTGGATTTTTCTATTTGAGGAAATTGCCATCTTTTTAGGGCACCGGGGAGTTTTTTTCTTCAGTCAGATGAGGTTTTCAGCAAACATCCTTCAGGCTGTGTGCATCTGTGATGAGCCTGTTTTTCTTTCTGCGCATGAAGAACAGATGCAGAGTTACCAGCTCACTCTAGTATTAGGATTCCAAAGACTGTAAAAAGTCCCATAACACCACCTTTAGCTGGACTTCAGGTATAATCTGTAAGCTTTCAAGATCTGTGGTCTGTAAATTCATGATCATCTCTAATGTAAAATGACACATCCTTCCTTCTCCTTCTCCTCCTGCTTTTCATGATAGCCTTTCAGAGTAAGTTGTTACAGCCTTAGTTTTCCAGCTGTATTTCCCTTCCCACTAGTTTTCATTAATTACAAACTGACATTATTTCATCTGATGCATATGCATTTCCTCCTGTTTATTCTCTAGGCATCTAGTGCTCAATAGTTAGTTCTTCTAAAAACGCTGTATTTCTTGGACAAATTACAGATTTCTGTTTGGACATGGGCAGTGTAACAGAATTGTAATCCATAAATGAAAAGATGCAGGAACACTCGAATGGTCAGACTGTTCCTCCTGCCCAGCTTTTCATTTCTCATCAAAAGGTAGCACTGGGATGCCCTTTCCAGCCTTTGGCATCATCCTAGCTCTTGAAGTCAAGAAACACGAATTCCCCTCGTCTTCAGAAGCTAGTTTCAATGCCTGTTGAATCATGGGTGACTGACCTTTTATCAGTTTCCCCATGTTGCATCTGCTTCTGCAGCTTGCTGCTGGGCAAGGGACTGAGAGGACTGCAGTGTGTTTGCTCTTAAACCTGCTCCAGATTTGCCTCCAGCAAACATATCTTTGTAACTAACCAACCAGCAGTGTTTCACCTTCTGTCACTCAGAGGACTTGGAGACATCTGGTTACTGCCTTCAGCTCTAGCCTCAAACCCCAGCACTCCTCAGAAGCTCCAAAGTCCAGAGGCTGCTCAGTGTAGCCAGGAAGGAAGGAAGGCAGACAGAAAGAATGGGAGGAAAGGAGGCAGAAAAAAACAGCGTAAAAATCACGTGTTGGCCTCAGCCTGCAAAGCTGAAGAAAAAACCGTGTATGGTGTGTCTAGGTGTGGTATTTGATGTGAAATACTTCATATCCAGTAGTACTGTCAGAAACGTAGATGATCTCAGAGAATGACAATTTTTTTCATGCAAGAGTGTCCCTTAAGCTGATGTGGCAGTATGGAATGGAGGGTGGGAATGGAGGAGGAGCACACTGAAGGATAGAATTAACATTTCAAGAGTTAAGAGTAGCATAGCCTCTAAACTCTATAGTGAGTTTTAAAAAAATCAGGAAGCTTAGTATTCACTGTATATTGCAAATAATTAAAATTAGATACGTTCAGGCATCCCACAATAAATATGTGAAGCAGCATATGGGTTGGGGACGGTTCTATGTCTGCACTTCAGCTGTTTGATATTCTGCTTAAAATAAAAATGGGTTCCTCTTCATCAGTGCAATGTTCAAAATTTCCCGTGATTCGAGTACTTCTTGACTATATGGAA